CAAACACATGGTGAGATTTATATATCTGACCTGAAAGGAGAGAAGGAAACTCAGATTAATGTTGTCTGCTGTGGCAACACTGCTTATTCCATGACACAGTGAACGGAGAGAAGGAAATACCCGCGGCCCCCAGACTCTTCTGGGATGCAGGGATCTGCTGCAAGTCACAGGCATGTTGGACTGAGTGTGAGTGGAACAGAGGCGTGGCTCAGTCAGTCCTCCTGAAGGCTCCAGCCACTTTTACTTACTGAAGCACTTGCTTACAGGTTAAAGGTTTGAGTTAGGCAGTGCAGGCAGCTGTAGTAACCTTCTCAGCAACAAGGGAACAAAGAATCTGACACGTCAGAAGATATTCCAGATGTTGGTCTGCAGAGTCGTGCTAACATGTTTAAGCTAATCCGAGTAGAGCGCGTTTCCTCATGTCTGCAGCCTTCTAACTGCAGGCGATCGACTGTAACAGAGACGCTGGTGTCATCTTTAAGTGAAGAATGGAGAAGGATTGACTGCGGTACAGTGCTTACTTCACATTAGTGGAGCTAATGCACCCACGCTATTTGTTGACAATAATAAAGAACCAGGAAGAAGCTGACGTTAGTAATTTCTCCACATTTCCATATTCACTTCATCTAAATGATAAAATATGCGCTGAGTGACACGGCGGAGGAGGCAGACTTTTTGTTCGGAGGCTCCGAGTGATGGAGGAGGCTGGAAGCTCCTGTGGTGTCCGTGAAAACAAGCGTGTGTGTGCACAGGAAATTTACTGGCAGCTCTTAAAAGTCTATGTCTAACAAGAGTAAAATGAATAAATATTGTTGTCATCTAAACTTCCAAACCGTTCTTCATCAGGCAGGAGAGTCAGCGACGGGCTGTGGCACTCTGTGAGCCTCGACGCCAGGAGCCTGCAGATCACTCTGACCGTGGATAACGAGCCCTCCTCCACTATTGAACTTTGGGAACAAGTGCAATCCAGAGGCAGCTTTTACTTTGGAGGTTAGTGGATTTACACACCATGCTTCCAATATTAACACAGCTTAAGACTTTACGCTCTAACCAAATGTTTCTTGGGAGTAAAAGCTAAAGGTTGTATCGTGTGTTATTTCCATCCAGGCTGTCCTGCGACTGCTCCAGACTGCCAGGGCTTTGCTCCGGCGTTCCAGGGTTGTATGCAGCTCATATTCATCAACAGCCAGCTGATGAATCTCAGTCACGTGCAGCAAGGACTGCTGGGGAATTATAACGAGCTTCAGTTCGACACGTGCAATATAAAAGACAGGTAACGTAGCCTGAATGTGTTTGAGTAAGGACGTGGCTCAGACGTGGAGCTGCTGAAAGCATGCACACATGTGACTGTTGAATGTCAAACATTATCCAAGATGGCAGCGCAGCCTCATCCATGCCCACTCTGTTAATTTGTGGATGACAGCGTGCTGCCTGCAGCGCAGCCTGAATGTCACTGACATCTTGTCCTATAGAGGCAAACTGACAGGATCGTCCAATTAAAGTGCAACAGGAAACTGGCGAGGAGCTTCTCTGGCAGAAGACTATGCTAACAAGCTGCCTCCCTACTGCCCTGTGCGCCGTGCTCTCCCTCATTACCCTGCACAGCTGGGCGCCCTGTGAGCACCTTCATGTGGATCATGCGCAGGATTGAAGTACACATGCAGCTTTTTCTTCAGTTTCACATGTCTGCTGTCTAAGACACAAACACGGGAGTGACGGCGGTCTCCCATGTCAGTGAGGCGAACGGCGCGCTGCAGGAAGTGACCGAATAAAGAAGGCGATGCAGCTCCAGGAGCATGCTTTGGTGCTCTTCCGTGTAATTTCATTTATTGAAGGG